GCGATGTGTCTGTCTCACGGCCAGCAAAGATGACAAATTTTAAAAAGGCATAACATTTTTCAAGGGGGGTGGAATGGGGAGCTTTGTTTGTTCTTTTTCTTTAAATTCTAAATTGATAGGTGGATCTTTACAAAAATACTCCCCATATTTGTATAGCGTTAAGGGAAACGTTTACACTTTTTTCCACTTAAAGCACTGGGCATTTGCTCTTCATTAAGAAATCTTCAGAAAATATTTATTTTTGTAATTTTTTTAAATAAACTAAGCTGTTACATACAACAAAGCGTGGGACCTCCATGTGTTAGAATAATAGTATACAGTAGTAATGGTTCAAATGAGTTTTAGTTCTACTAATCCGTTCCACCATCTGTTTTTTTCATCATGATTGGGCCAGCTCACCCTCTGGGACTGTCTTGTCCAGGACGGTGAAGTTAGCAGAGAAGCCTTCCTTAGCGATGGCGCTGTCCGTGTTGATTGTCAGTGCCAAAATTCCTGTATAGGAGATGATCCTGCCGGGGGTGTTCTGGCCGCAGTACCGTCCGATGTACGGCCCGACTGCAAACAGAAATGAGAATAAAAGCACAGGCATTGTTAAAATGGTTGCTGCAGCCCTGTCACACATGGGTTTAACTAGTAACCCCCCCAAGCAAGGTGTGAAAACTAGTGTGTCAGTGAGGTATGGCGCTGACCCCATAAAGAGGCATGAGAAAAAAACGTCCTTGCATTCCAGATCCGCTGGCCTGCCGGACACAAAGAGAAAAGAAGGGCGGCCGGTGGTGTGGGGCCAGGTCACAGTCTCCGTCTATTTGCTTGGCTGTAAATACCAAAAAGCCAGACTCCTATTCATCGACAGCCATCACCCAATACGTTTTGTGAAGGAAGTCAAACAAGTAAAGATAGAGCAGGGACAATGAGAGAACATTAAGAGACAGAAAGCAATAAAAGGACAAGAAGTGAAGGTTCCGCTGAGAAGCCTGAGAAGAATGGGGGAAACACAGTGGAAAGTTAGGAGGAGAGAGATAGAGATGGAAAGAGAGGAACCTGGGGAAAGAGGGTTTAGTAGTGAGGGAGAGCAAAAGAACACAGTGACCTTGCTCTCTTCCTTTGATGTGTGCTATGATCCATGCCCCTTTATGAATGTGTTCCTGTCAGTGCGTGGGGACCTGCAGCTTATCTGTGATTAGTAATGCTGTGATCAGCAGCGAGTGACAGTCCTGCCTCCCCAAAGCCTCCTGTCATCCAAAACATGGCACTTCCAGCCCTGCTCCAACATAAAAGCCAAAGGCCAGGCCATGGGGGGGTGGGTGTTGGTGGTGGGTTGGCTTATGGACGCAGTGGTGTGACGGCTAACATTAATCTTCATAAAACAGATGCCGGGTACATGTCTTTGAAAATATGGTGTGCCTTTAATCCCAGTAAGACCTGATCTGAAGAAATAAAAAAAAAAAGCCTATCTGCCGGATTATCTGCATGACTCCACAGTGCCATGAAATTTTAAACAAACTCACTATGAACTCTGCATCTTGCCTGGCTCCACATTCCACAGGGAGAAGGAAGAAAGGCGCAGAGGTTCTTCTTTCTTCCTCAGTGGCTGTCCAGTGAGGTGTGCTTTGAGGGGCGAGGGGAACAAGAAGGTGTGAATCCCCCCGGCTGCATGCCCGGACATCTCTAATCTCAGCACACTCCAGTAGCAAGCATGCCTCCTGTGCTAATGCACTATCGATCCAGCAGGCACAACAGGAAGCGACTGGCAAAAGCCAACACTCTATTTTCCTCCTGTGGCTTATTTTTATACACCACTATCTGTCACACACAGCAACCTTCAAAGGGTGTTATGATAAAAAAAAAAAATGCTTGTGACAGGTTTCTGCCACTGTTAGACAAAAGGAAGGCTTTTTCATCTTATTCCACCACTGTCATCTCTTAATTTTAATAACTAAAGAGGAGCAGAGACATTTTTTTTTCAAACCCCATGCTGATTCTTCAAAAACTACATTCCAGAACAACCATGGATTTTCTCATTTTTCCAACCCTCTGACAATCTTCTCAATCAGCACAAATCCTCGAAATGAAACGGGAAAACTCGAGGGGAGGGCTCCCAAACGAGCCCCACTCTGAGGAATCAAAGGTCAGCCCTGCAAAGTTAACATCATCAGAGATGTGAACTTTAACTAAACTCCCCAGAATAGGCGTCTGTGATTAACACTTCAACCTTATCACCTAGAAGGCTAGGTGCAGCGAATACTGATGTGCAACCAGGGTAAGCAGAGCTAGATAACAATTCTTTCGGTTTTCAGCCACGTACGGGTGAGCCAGGCTTTCATCTTGCCAGCTCCCGGGGTTGGAATCTCTGACATAAAAACTTCAAGATGTGATTTTGCTTGCTGAGTTAAAAGGCTAATCTCAGGCTGTGGAGGCAAGCTTTGAACCCTCCTCACCTCATCTCACCGTCCTCCCACTGACTTTAAAGATGAATAGATTCTGAAAACTGTTTCAGGGCAGTGTTTGATTTTGTGTGTTTTTGTGAGTGTATGGGAATACGTGAGCAAGGGTTGGTTTGGGTCAGGTCCGTAACGGTTTAGCTAAATATATGAATCATCTCTGGCAACTTTTTCCAACCCACTGGTGAGAAATTGGAAGAAAAGAAAAAAAAAACTTTTGGAGGTATTTTCTGTAAGATAGGACTGTCATGCAAAAGCTTAAACCCTATATCTTATATTAGACCTTGTTCAAATGTATTGGCCCTAGCATATTGTTGCACACAGCCAACATATGACGTGAAAAAGGAACAGTGTAATGAAAACTGAGACATGTGCAAGGTATGGTAAAGACTGTTCAGGTCACTGGTCTGGATATAGTAATATATATAGAAATACTGCACTAAATGAAGCTGAATCTAGTTATCTAACCTGCTGTATTCTCCTGCTTCCATCGTCTTATGGCAAACCCCTTTTTCTTTGGATCATTGACAAAAAATATCTTTCTTTACATTAACTTTTCATAGGAAACCAGTGTCCCCACACAGAGTAGCTCAAATGCCATTGCATTGTGTTTGCACAAAAATGGCTAACATGCGGTTCTTTATCAGGAACTGCCCTCAGTTCTTCAGACAAAGCAATACAATATAGTTTTTGCTGTATGTCTTTACTTTAAAACATTGTTAGGTTTATTCAATGATGATTGTAAAGTTAATGTGTGTGCATATGGAACATTGGAGAAATTAGATGCTTCAGTCTGTTTACTCTATTTTGTAACCCACCCCATGTGTTATGATCTGCAAAAAAAAGGCTCTGCAGAAGAAGTCAGTCAGAATGTAGCTCTCTCCTTCTGCAGAAGCCGTTAAAAAATCCCTCTTCTGTGTGGACTCAGTTTCTCTTTTATGAACCTACATTCTTGAACCTAACAAACATATATATATATATATATATATATATATATATATATATATATATATATATATATATATATATATATATCACATACTAAAAAATCAGAGAAAAAAGTCATTATCTGTTCACTCTCTCAGCATAAGAGAGGGCTACGCGATAGCACCTTCCTTTCTTACTTCAAAACAAGATTAAAATTACTATAGCTGTAGATATAATATAGCTTCCCACCATCAGTGTGTGGTTGAATGACTAAATATAGTGTGGTCAAATCTCCTGAATTGAAAAAGCGCAGTATAAGTACAGGCCATTTACGATTTAGAAACTCAACTAGTCACAGAAAATGGATAGTTTTGTTTGACCGAGTAACTAAGCTGACAAATATAATGTTCATTATTTCGAGATTCCATGACATAAGATTTTCAAAGTTACTTTTATAACAATTAGTGTTTTAAGTTTTTGCATATTCTAGATGAAGTAAAGATTGGTAAATTAAAAATAGTATAAATAATTAATCGACTTAAATTACTGAGATCAGGGCTTACTTTGACTTAACTAGATGTGGGAGAGGTGGTTTCAAAAAGTCCTTGGTATGTATAAAAAGTACTTTTTCCTTTAAGTACTTTTTTGAGTTTCTTTACTTTACTTGAGTCCACAAATGTGACAAACTCAGGGAAGATATTATTTGTGACTTATAAATTGTATTAAGCCATTGGTTATTGCCATGTGGCTGAATTGTTCAGTAGGACAATTTCTCAAATTAGAGCTGTGGTTTCTTTTTGGTAATAGACTCAACCTTAAACCTCTATTCACCAGTGAAAGTGTGAAGAGAATCGCACTTCTACTTAATAAGAAAAAATAAAGTTAGCTTTCCTTTTTTGTGTCATGTTTATGCTAACGTTCTTCACAGGTGGTGTAGAATTTGTAGCAGGTGGCTCTACACATCATTGCATCAGGCAATGTTTTTTAAAACTACACTGGAAATTACACAGAAATGTACTGATATTAGAAAATGTAACTTGTATTTTTGAATTCTTAGGGGCTTTTAAATGCATGTAATTTTGAAAACTTAGATGTTTTTTTTTAAGTGAGTAATCCAATACTTCAACTTGAGTAGATGTAACTTTTACTTGTTGGTGAGTAAAATTTGACTATGAGTATGAGGACTTTTACTCAAGTACTACTGTTGAGTACTTTATCCACCACTGGTGATTTGGTAAATTTCCTGTCTTTTTTTCTTTGTTTTCAACGACAGTCCAACATGCTGTTTCTGCTCACCTCCTGGGAAACCATCCCAGATCTCTAACCGGTCGTAGCGGCAAAAGACACCACTAGGGGGTGTTGGGTCGGGTTCCAGCTCGAAGCTCTCAAACTCCAGGATGATTTCTGACATCTTTGGGGCAAAGATCATGAAGGTGCAGTCCAGGTTGTTGGGGTATTTCTCCGGAAACCCTGGCGACTTTATGACACCACTGTTGGAGGTGAAGTTTTTGGAGCACTCGGGACCTACAGGGGAATAGAACAACAAGACTATGAATTAAAAGATGGGAGAAAAGGGCAAAAAAAGAAAAGAGGAGGAGATAATGATTTTGGATGGCAGTTGTGAATTTGATTTGTTTGAGTTCTCCCCTGTTTCCCAGCAGGTCTGTTTAGACCAGGACAGTTTATGGCCCTTGGTTGAGGGACCACCTCTATTCACTAGGTGCTACATCTGGATCTCTTAACTCTGCCTCTGACTTACTCTTTGTTTTTCTCCCCTTCCTAAGACAAACATCACTCCACATCCTACAGCAAGTATATGTTAAATCAGTGAGTCCTGGAACATCTGGACCAACCCTGTAAACATTAGTAAAAGGCCTAAATCACCAAAGTCACGACAAATAAACAGTTTTATTCAAACCGTAATTCTTGCTTGTCTCACACACACATAAGCCCTCATCAAGATGTCTGTGAAACACATGAGAGGTGCTCGAGCTTGAATGATGGAAGGGAGAGCAATGGCTGTGCATACATCAACACACATACTCACAGTTTTACACAGAGGGAAGTCAAAATATTTATGCACAGCTCCCCAGAGAGCTGCCTTTTGGCTGATGAGGAAAATTAAAACGCTTCCCATAGTAGCTACCTCTTATGAGCACAAAATTATGATTTGAAAATGAGTGACACATAAAAGAAAAATACTCCAACAGCTGCAAAATGATTTCTAAAAGCAATAGGGGTAAGTGATGTTGGGATTTGTCAGCTCAAGTGTGGGTCCAAGGTTTGCTCAATGCAAAAAACACATAACTAAAAAAAAAAAAAAGAGTACTGTCATTCGGGGCAATTATTTGGAGCCATTAGCAGCCCGAATTGTACCCAGGATAACATTTTAATGCAAGTCTGGCAGCTGGCATGATGAGTGCAGATGTGGCCAATAGAGACCAAAATTGCAGGGAGTTATCGCTGGATAGAGCTGCTGTCCTGCAGTCCCTGTAGCTTAAATGAATCTGGCAAACTGCTTTTTCAGGCGTCACTCAAGCATCTTGCCTGGCTCCTAATTGAAGACCATCAGGCCCACTTGAGTCTGTCCACCAGCAGAGTGAGTAAAGGGCTGCAGAACCATATTGATTTTCTTTCTCCACAAGCTGAAAGCCATGGCGAGCAGCGTTTTTGACTCGAAAGAGAGTTGACATTTAGCACAGCAGCTAAAGTGTGGCCTTCGAGAACAGTAGGTACCATTAATTTCACAGCTTCCCCTTGTATTTACTTGGAGAAAATGGAAGGATTTTGCTGAAAGACGCTGTTCCCTGGACGTAGTACGGCACTTACCTTTGCTGCATTTGGGATAATGTCAGGCATTTTCTGGTTGAAAAAAAAAACAATAGATGGAGACCAATTCTGTCAAAATTGTTGCTGTAGAAGTGAAGTACTCCTCATAGCTGTTGGACTTCCAAAAGCTGTTGGCTTGAATGTAACTCACTTGCCTGCATACTAAATTCCCCCCCCCTGTGCCGACCAGATCAGACTGGAGGTTTGGGAAGGGTTTACTCAAAAACCCAAATCCACAGAGAGGTTGAATGCATAGCCTTAAATGAACGATAAGAGACTGGGATCTAAATATGACTCCTCAGTTACCTCAATCCTTTTTATTCACTCCACCTTGGTCTCTAAAAGTGAAATACCAGTGAACCAATCATTTATGCCAGCAGGTATATTTTGGCATTGTGAAAGGAAGCCAGAGTACCTGAGACAGTCTGCATATACACAACATACAAAATGTTCCAAGAAAACCTTGGCATAAGGTGGCCTCACCTCTTGTCCTTTATGCAAATGTCATTAATCAAATAAAAGATGCCTGTTTTTCTATTTCTGGGTGTTTGTTACTTTTGTCTTGTCCTGCATTACCTGTATATTTTTACTCTAAGGTAAAACCAAGGGCAAATTTCTCTATTGACATTTTCTGCGTCCCTGGCTATATACAAAGGAAAACCAAAATGGACTAGTGAGAAAGGCAGAACACTCTGCCTGCTCCCACCGGTGAGATTATCATCTTGCTGATCTCTTTTATCTACTCCTTCCTTGTATGGGAGGTGCTAACTCCCCAGCTCCCTTTACTACACCTAGAATGCTCTGTGGTACCATCAGCGGTGGGGAGGCTTTTAGTGATGGCAGTGCATTTCTCTGATATTGTCTGTACAAAACACACCACTTGTGTTGACAGGGAGCTTCTGGAGACAAATATATACGTATCTAAGGGTCAATTGAATTCTTACTCCCTGCCCCCAAACTTAATCTATCTCACCTTGTGTTGTTTTATTGCTTTACTGTTCTTTGTCTCTCCTGGCTGACTCTGTGCCATGATGGAAGAGGGGTTAAAGCCAATGGCATTTGTAAATATAAATGCTCAACAAGTAGTTTGACTTCAGTCCAAACATAGCTTTTGAAAAAAATGATCCGAAGTTTATAGAAGGAAAGAGAAGTGACCTTGATTGAACATTTACTGCTGACCTCCTACAGCTCAATTTGCGTCATACTCAGTGAGTGTGTAGACTATTTCTAATAGGGAAAGTTGGAACTTTGTTTATGGTACCTAATGACAATTTGATGTTAAACAATTCAATCTTCACTTTTACTAAACTGTTGCTCTGTGTGCTAGAAAGCAGAACTACATTTGGTCAAGAATCTGGGTCTAAATATGACATTTTTTTGTACTTTTTCTCTGCCTACTTTTTAAATTTCCCCATGTTGTTCTTTTTCAAGCTAATCACCATTGGCGTTTCTGGCTGGAGCCAAGATGGCTGAGGGTGTTGATTTTGGACTGCAAAGGAAAATCACCACTGTTTATGTACCTTGTTGTTCTCTGGCCGGTCATTAGGACCCTCTACCCAACCTCATTCCTCATGCCTTCCTCATACCTCCCCCTCCCCTTCATGTTGCCCTTATGTCACACTGACAGAAGGCCTGATTGCTTGAGGAAAATGAACTCTTTCAGCACTAAATCAACCATTAACCAGAAGCGTGTGGAGTTCCAATCATTGAAACAGATGGGGAAGGCAGGTCTACACTCACCAGCACCCTCAAACGTACATTCTTAGTCTCAGCTATGCCAACCTGGTATTTACAACACAAACACCCATTTCAGTAAAAGGAGAAAGGAAACATGTCTGATAAGATGGGGTACAGGCTGGGGTGGAGTTTCCTTTCTAACTGTTATAAAGAGGTTTGTTATTTTCACTGTGGAAAAAGCATTGCCATACAAATCCATATTTTCACAGGTGTGTGCTTTATATGATGGATGTAATCTTATTGTGACGTGACCACAAGATTTCTTGATAAAATGTGTTTTGTGGTGCTACATGGTGGCCCCACTTCAAACAGAATCAGTCACTCTGCTGAGTAATTGAAAGCAATATAAAGTTCCACCTAAAGGAGGCTGGGAGAGGCAAGAGTAAGTGACTATTATCTTTAGGTCCTTGCCTTCTTCAGTTAACTGTCCAGGGTGTTGATATGCCACAGAGCGAACCGTTAAGCCACTAGTAGAAACTCTGCTCTCTTTCTCGTGTCCCTTTAGGAAAATAGCTCCCTTTGAAATGGTTTGTGCATTTTTGCTAACACACTGTCAACTGTGATTCAGTGGGAATAGGAGCTGTGTTGTGAAATCAGAAAACTGTGGGTTTGATTCCATCTTTCTCTTCTCTCACATTGACATCTTTTCTGGAGCCCCAATCCAAAGTTGCTTTCCAAATGTCTGTTTGTGTGTAAAGTTGTGTATGTTTTAGTGAGCATTTGGATGAATGCTGCTACAGTTTACAGCCTTATGAGTAGAAAAAAAGGAACACAAATTCCGACGATTGAGACGTTCTTCATTTAAAATGGTAGCAGGTTTTTTTAATTGTGAAAATCAAACTTTAGCTCAGTTGAATGCACCTCTTTATGACTGGCACTGGGTTTGCATTGATCCCTAACTTCATCAACCTTAGGTTTGAGTTATATATATAGTATATTTAATGTTTTGAATCAAAATAACTTTTTAACCACTCAAACTAATGTGGGGCTAAAAGAGTCTGAATAAAAATAGAAGCACATATGGGATTCATAAATACAAACACGTGACTCAAAAATGCCCAGGACATGGTTCAGTGTTGTATTTCTGATGCAAATACAAATATATCTTGATTTAAAAACTGCTTGTTTTCTGTTGCCATCGGTGCATTTATCTGTGGATTTTTGATACGGTTTGACATACAAATGCCTTTTTTAAACAGGGAAAGATCTGCAACCAATCAAATGTTGCCCTTGCTCCAGCCAAGTACAAGAATGCACCTCACACGAGGGATGATTTATTCACTGTTCACATGAGCCCTTTCACATTTGGATATATCATGCATTCTGTAAAACAAAATGAACTCTTATGATATTTTCAGTCCAGAGCGAAGCTGTGTAAATCTGAAATGCATTAGTTAGCATTTTAGTAGCTTGAAAACAGCAACAGTGTCTATTGGCTGCAGCTGCTGGAATACATAATGTTCACTTTTCTTCACTATTTGCCTCTGCTCTTCATTTATGCAGAATCTGCAGTTACTGCTGCCAATAACTCATGTTTGTCTCTCCACAGAAGCTTGAGTTGTCCTGGGATTTTTGTATAATTAGTTTCGTCTTACTTGATGGGGATTTTAACTTTTTAAAAGATTCTCCTTTAAAATTAGACTGATTTTGATTCTTTCCTGGACAAAGCCTTTGAAGGACAAAAGTGTGGCCCTCATCTATATTCACTTCCGCTGAGAAGGAGGACAAGTCCAACTTATAGTCAGCGAATTTTATTTCAGCAAAAAAAAACTTTGTAAAGAAATGCCACACATAGGCCTTATATTTAGGTTACATAAAATATTTTCCTATTATTATTTTCTTTTAAATTGATATTAAAGTATTGGGGAAGCACACTCATATTTCATTCCAACCAAATGGCTTTGGCCGCTGACTTCTCTTAATTTTTTGTAAAGCTGCTCTTTAATCTTTGCTGGATGATGTTATAATTAGGACCACTCCAATATATTGTAATGAGGCGACGCTGTTTCTACTTTCCTAATGTGAAAAATAGGTGGGTCCACTGCTGCATCAGATAAAGCAGGTTCAGCATTGGAGCATTGAATAAACAGACAATCCTTCTGTAGAACCTCAATTACTAAAGACATGTTATGAACATAATATTTTGTACTTAAATTGAAACATTTCATGCAAGCAGAAGTCTATAAATAGGATTCATTGTGACTGGAGCATGTAGGGGAAGCCAAAAGTGCCACATGTTCAATACATTCAAAAGTGGCAAGATTTTAATTTGCAAATGTGAATACTTAATAAGAATGCAACACATGGGGGCTCATATCTTAATATTTTGTCCAAGGCCGAGCCTATCTGGGCTATCAGCTGGGCTGTTTCTAAAAAATCTTTTGTCCAACCTTGGAGCTCCTTAGTTTATCTGGGTTTCTCTTCTAGATGAAGCATTACTACAGCGGTTCTGTGTTTTAGCATTCCTGTTCTTTCTTCTCAAACCCACAGAGGGTTAAAGCAGATGGCTGTTCATTCTGAGCTGAGTTTTGCTGAAGGTTTCATTGTGATGAAATGGAACTGTCCTCTCTCCTTGTTTCCTCCTTTGGTTTCAGTACGAGGAATTGCTTAAATGTTATCTTCTCAATCAGGCACCTGCCCATTCAAGTTGGACTGTACCACTGGTCATGATGACATTATGTTAATTTTTGCTATACAAACAAAGTAAGTAAGTAGCTAACAGTCACAAACTGGACCAGTGCATAAAGCCTGTAAAATCTCTAAAGCTAAGTACAAAAAAAAGATTAATTTGCTTTGCAGATGGAAAATCTTAATTGAGACCTCCTTACATCACTGTTTTGTTCAATTAAAATAAAAGTTAACAAAGAAATAAAACTACTCTGCCAGATAGACTACTCCTTTCAGCTCAAAATCTCCCCCATGCCATCTCATTTGCTCCCGTGCTACTCTTGCCAGTCTCTGGTCAGTCAAGCGCCGCTGCCAATTTGCAGGCTATAAAATAAATAGCCCGTGCTAATTAAGATGGCTTGATGGGACCTAGCAGTGGCGAGGGGTAGAGAGTGATGTGGAATCAGCCAAAGGGAGCCACAAAACAACCTGTTCCCTTCCAATTAGACACTTTGCAGGCCACAGCTGATAAGAGCCAGAGCTGAGAGTGCCAGCGCTTTGAGGAGTGGGGGAAAGTGTATTTAGTTTACAGCTTTGGTGGGGTCAGCATGCCCATGTAAACATACTTTTATAATCTGGCACATGATCCCAAAAGGGATGTGTGTTTACATATATTTATTTGAAACGTTTGTTTGTCTTTGTCTGACCTTTGCTTGAGTTTAACTCCCAGACGTGGACTTGCTGTGATCCATGCCTATAATCACAGCAATAAACAGCCGGCAGTCGCAGTATTTTCCTTCATTGACATGCACAAGTGCAAACCTCCCGCTTCTCTATCTGTTATGGAGCATCTGTGTCTCATCATTAAACATTACATGTGTTAGCCAACACAATGTTTTGTTTTTGTTTCCAGCTAATGCTCTGTTTGTTGATAAGCGGTGCTAATCAGCTAACTCCGTATCTCTCGTAGTGCTTGATTCTCTCCGACTCTAACAAACAGAGATGTTAATTGATCTCAGGACCCTGCATCTGGCAGGAGCTGAGAATGCCGTATTAAAAAGCACAAAGCAAATTCATGGTGCAGTGATGCTTTGGATCCACTAAAGGCTGAAATGGTGCTCCCAGGTTCTCCCCTCCACAGGGGGGAAAAGAACGCCATGTGTAAAAGAGCCAAAAAAAAAAAAATAATTCCTCTGGACTCCCTCTCCTCCTCAAACTCTGGTTCACCCAGTGAAAAAGCACAGCTTGTCTTCAAGCTCCAACTATTTATACTTCTGTCTCTGTTCTAGCATATTTTCAGCTAGATCTGTTATTTTCCTCATCCAAGCTGCTCTGCTTCGTCAAAGGACCCCTAACACGGCTCATTTCTAATCAGCCACCGCTAATAGAGGAGATGGGGGAATACTATGGTAATTGTGGAAAGAATGTTGCGATTTAGCCGGCCTATCAGGGGGGAATGAGGCGGCATGTGCAGATGACTTTGCGTATGTCGGGGCGGAGTGTGGCTTTGATCTCCTAAATGGCCCCACACTCCACCAGCTGCCCTGCCGTGGTGGCGACACGCACAAACCCAGCCACTCAAACACAATCACAAACACAGATTAGAAGAGAGAAGGAACCTTGCCAGGCTATTCATCACGTCTCAGAGGTCACGGGGGGGCTTCCCTATACACTGCTGCTAAGGTTAATTAATGAAATGGAGTCTATAGCACCTGTCTGGTTACTAGTAACGCTGTAGGCTGTCCTCATCCTTCATCTTCTGCTATTCCAAACAAAGGAAGACTGCCTATCAGCAGGAAATTCTTCTTGGAATTCTGCTGTGTTCTGATAAGGCAGACATAACCTAATAACATTTGGGCCAACCAACCAGAATGTTACCAGGACATCCTTTTTTTTCTTTTTGATAAAGACCAGAAACTGGGACACTAAGAGGATTTCCTGATGTGATGCCTGCTTAAAAAGGACTGAGTTTACTTTCTCCCCAACTGGTGTTTCTGCTATAACAACAGCCGGTTCCATCGGCCCCTGTTGAATGCCAGCTCACCAAAACACAGCAACACTTTAACAGCATTTGTTCGATCACAGCTCAGAGAATCATAGCTTCGCTTATAGTGTAAGGAGGGAAACATATGGGGTTATGATTCATTTGTTTTGACCCACGCATATTGCCTGCCATATTGCATTGGCTTAATGTGGCGCTTTGACGCCTTGACTAAAGCACAAACAGAGCATGAAATTAGATAGATTCTTAGACAGAATATCACTTCATTGTCAAGATTTTTCTTTCGGTTTCAAACTGTATCAAACTCCAACAGATGTGGTGATGGATGCATTAGGCTTTGCAGTTATCACTTTCTTGTGTTTCTTTCCAGTTGGTTCAGAGGTCAATTTAGTTTATTTAATTACCAAAAATTTAATTAAACAGTTTATCTCTGGGTTGGGTTGATTATTGGGGAATGAAACACAAAGCCGTGTCTACATAAACAGCGATATTTAGATAAAACAAAGACTTTCTGCCACGCCAGCAATTAGCAACTGAGCTTTCAGTTGGGGGAAAACATGTAATCTTTAAAAACACTTTCCCAAATCTCCATTTGTGGTTTTTTCATGTGAACTGGATACCCAAACAGTGGTAAAAGCAAGATGTAGAGGCTCAATTTATGCATGCCCAATTTTGAGCTAACACCACAAAAGTAGAGCCATAATTACAAGTTTGATCCTTTTTTTATTGCAGTTCCAATCAAAAAAATAAAAATAAAAAAAACCAAATCATCTCTCCGTTATTTATTTTCAAAATCGTATTTGTACAAATTTCAAGTTGACTTCACCAACTTTACCATCTAGTAGAGCACCATGAGGGTGGGTTAAAAAACAAACAAACATGTTACCCCATTTACACTACCCTTGAAAAACCAATACATGCCGAGACCGGTCCGAGCTCGGATCAGTTAACCAGGCCGACCTCGGTTCTGACGACCGTTTACACATCACGCTATCTCGGTTCCTCGCCTCCTAGTGACGATCTGCAGTATTACTGCCAGTGTTGACAGAGGAAATCAAGCAGTTGGTGGCGGTAATGCACCAAAAGTTGTTTGCCAAATCACATAAAACATAAGAAGAAGAAGGCGAAGAAGGAGGGAATCAAGCAAACCAAAATGG